AAGCGGCACGGGGCGAGGGGAGCCCCGCTGCGGGGGGTTCTCCCTTCGATCCCGGCGGTTCTGGCGGCGGAGGCCGAACTCTTTTTATTTTCTCCCCCCCCCGTCCCGGCGCCTGTCCCGGAGGCCGAGATGAGGCGTCGCTAATTAGGGAGCGCTGAGGACGGGCGGGGTGAGAGGTGCTGCAGGGAGACCGAGGATCCGCGGCTACGCCGGGAGCCCCGCCCGGGTTAGACAGCGCGGAGATTTTTGGGGGAAAAAAACCCTCTCTGAGGAAACCTGTGGGAGCCTCCGTTTGTGTGCCGCAGGATGAACGTCGGCGTGGCGCACAGCGAGGTGAACCCCAACACGCGGGTGATGAACAGCCGGGGGATCTGGCTGGCGTACGGGATCTCGGTGGGAGTCCTCCACGTCGTCCTCCTCAGCATCCCCTTCTTCAGCATCCCCGTGGTCTGGACGCTCACCAACGTCATTCACAACCTGGTTAGTCCAAGCTCGACCTGTTTTTCTGCCAGGCCTGCAGCTGGGCCTCCCCTGGCCACCGGCCCCTGTCTCTGGTCTACGAGGTCCCCGCGGGGCTGGGTGCTGACAGAGCCGTAACGAGGCACAAAGCACGTTTCTGCCCCAGGAACGGTGTCCAGGGCCTGTTTTCCATCCCCTTCTCCCCTTGAAACCTGCAGGTCATGTACTTGCTGCTGCACACGGTGAAGGGGACCCCCTTCGAGACCCCGGACCAGGGCAAGGATCGCCTCCTCACGCACTGGGAGCAGATAGACTACGGGACGCAGTGCACCTCCTCGCGCAAGTTCCTCAGCATCTCCCCCGTGGTGCTGTAAGCGCTGCTGAGCGAGGCGGGGAGGACCGGGAGGGTGTTGAAGACACGTGGTGGGAGCACTGGGCTTCCCTCCGGCCCAAAGTCCCCCCCAGCGCGGGCAGAGGGGAGGGTGGAGGCAGCCCAGGGCTCACTCAGGGTCTCCCTCTCTCCCCCAGGTACCTCCTCACCAGCTTCTACACCAAATACGACCCTGGGCACTTCGTCGTCAACACGGCGTCCCTGCTCAGCGTCCTCCTGCCCAAGCTGCCCCAGTTCCACGGTGTGAGGCTCTTCGGCATCAACAAGTACTGAGGCCCCGGGGGACGGAGAGGGGACACCCAGAGAGCAGGGGCAAGGCGTGAGGAGCGTGGGGCAGGGACCACTGCGGCCTTCAGGCAGGGTTTTAGCACAGTTCCTGCGCCCCAGGGAAGCTCCTGCCTGGGGCTTTGTCTCTTCAGTGAAGGGAGAAGCAGAGCGGAGCAGAGCAGTACCGAGCGGTCACGTCACACACAGTTTCCTTCGAGCTAACCCTGCAGAAAGCACCTGGGAGGGGAAAACCGCTGAGCAGCGGGAAGAGACACCCACCTCCACCTCCCTCAGCCCCGTGTTTTCTGTGTTAACACCCTAATAAAGAACTTGGGGCGACCGGAGCAGCGTCACCAGCCGCAGCTCGCGCCTCCCACCCGCCCC